AGAGGAAATAGATAATTACAGGTAGAGGACCAGTTATATCACGCCAAAAATATTTGAATTGTCCTGGAAAAATTAACACTATAAGGCAAGACAAGGAAGTGAATATTAGCTCATTAAATAGGAAAATCCAATTTTAAGTTAAAATTGTAGTTTATTATATCTCAGACAAGAAGCAGTATCATTAATTAGCCAAAGTAAGCACCTAAACTTTCAACATAGTTTTGGCATCTTAATGGTAGCTTGTTTATGTCAGCAGCAAATAAGCTTGGGGAGCTTGTGGTGATGAAATTGCAGAAGTGTTTTCCACAGCTTGTTGAGAATTCAATATTTTTTCTTGCAAGAAGTAGTCCAAAGCCTGTAAGAAAGAGTAGTCAGTTGGTGTAAGGTCAACATGATGAGTGATAGAGTTTTAAATCTAGGTTCTATAGTTTTAGTGGTGGTGTTTGTACAACAGAGTCTTGTAAGAGGATTGGCCTGTCTCTATTGACCAATCTCAGATGCTTAATCACAAGCATCCTCATCCACTGGTTGCAGTAGACATCTGTAGTCAATTGACCAATAATTCATTGACCAGGTTTCTTGAAGGTGTAGTGGATAATACCAGTGTTGGACCAGTAAACAGACACCATTAGCTTTTTTTTTTTTTTGATGACTATTCAGTTTGGGACTGTGTCTTGGCACATCATCTTTATCTAACCATGGTACTAAATGCTTATGATTGTCAAAAAGAATTTTTCATCACACGTAATAATATGATGGAGAAACGAGTCACCTTTATTTCATGACAGCAAAGAAAGATGATTTCTCTTCTGATATTCATTTAATTCATGCAGAACTCATCCATTTAGCTTCAATACACCTTGCTGATTTGTTTCAAATCATCCAATATTGTTGGAATAGTGATGTCAAACCTTGCTGCTAATTCATATGTAGGTTAAGCTGGATTCACTTCCACTATAGCTTTCAGTTCATCATTATCCCCTGTGGTCTCAAGCCTCCCAGATGGCTCATTTTCAAGATTAAAATCACTAGAAGGGAACTTCACATACCATTGATGTATTGTGCCTTCATTCATCACCTCCTTCCAAAAACCTTCTTGATATTTTGAGCTGTCTGTGCAGCATTAGTTCCATGATAGAAGTTATATTCAAAAATAACATGAATTTTTGACTTAGCCATGGTTTCCAAAAAATTGCTCTAAAAAACAAAATTTGAAAGATGATTATAATTCAAAATGTGCATTTAAAGAAGGAGGTTGTACTTTCACAATGAAATAAAAAACACACAAGAAGTATCAAAGTGAAATATGTAAGATAACAACTGTCAAACTTAGGAAATCAGACATTGCTTACTTAATAATCTAATAGCAATAGATTTGGTAATAAATTTAGGAAACAAAGAATTCCTAAAAAGACACAAAATATTTAAGGTATATCTAGGACTTTATGATGACATTGACCAAAATGAAAAAAGGTAAGAGCAGATACCGTTTTGAAAGGAAAGTTTATGAGTTCCTTCTTAGGTCTAATAAAGTTACAGTGAGATGTCTAGGTAGAAACTTTTAGTCAGAATGATGAAATACATAACTGGATCTAGAAGAAAAAAGAAAGGCTGATATAGTTTGGAAGCTAAGGAACTGAATATATTCTCAAAGAGAAATAAGCAAAAGAAATTAGGAATACTGAAATAATGTAAGAAATACTAGGAGATGATTTCATGTATAGGAGTCAAAGAAAATAAAAGCTACTTGAAGAAAAATTTAGGAAGTGTTTTTATTTAGAGATTTCAGAAAAAAGAGTCATAAACAAAATAGCAAAGTTTAGGTCGTTGATAATTCAGGTTCAGGGTCATAGAAATCATAAGCAGCCAGTAAGCAATAAAAATTTTGTTTGAAGCATTCACCTTCAAACATACCCAGGTCTATAGAATCAAATATTGAAGAAGTGCCTGGGACTGAAGGCCCCTCAGCAATGAATGTACTTGATAATTTGCTTGAGTTATTTCTTATTAGAGTCCACATTTGTAAGATAATAATCAAGATTAATAATACCTTCTGTCATGCCCAAACTCCAAGTTAAGAGAACATAAGAATCTACAAATATAAAATGTTTTATTTATTGTCAATTTTGTGCTACTAACATTGTTTTTGCTAAACTGTCACTTTCTGAGAACAAGGGATATATATTATTCATTTTGTTTTTACATGATATGTTTATGTATTTATGATCTAATAAAGGTAGTTAAAATTATTTAAGTTATTCAAGGTCTGTATTAACAAGTGCACTAATTTGGGAGGTAATAGTAGACCAAATTCTTCCACTATTTCTTCAATATTAAAGCATAAGAATGCATGATTTTGCAATTTGAATTGTATAGTTGAATAATAATGAGATACCCAAACTCAGCATGTGATAGAGGCATCCTTTCAGGATCATAATAATTAATGCTAATAATCTGATACACTGATTAGTATTTTACAAAGATGTTCTGCATGTTTTGAGCTTAAAGTATTTGTTTTTATATGAGCCATTAATGATAGATAAGGTGCAGGAAACCCACTTTGAAGTAACTCCATTTAAAATAAACCTAAGTTGAAATTAGACATCTGAGAAGTAAGAGTGGTTAAGAGTCTTGCCAAAGCTCCCAAAGTTGCAAGTGACTAAACTGTCATTTCACGTAAAGGTTTGTATTAGATAATATATTATGTGTATTATGCACACACATGTATTTCTAGGAGGTTCATTTTATCCATGTGGTAGTAATTTTTCACTTTTGACAATAATTCCTAACATGTCGCATTAATTATTCTGCTTACTATTCCTCATGAGATAAGTAGAGATATCTAAATATATGTATGCATCTGAACAAGTAGAAATTTATGAACAAAAGCAACCTTTGCAATAGTTGTGGTTCAGGTTATATCAATGTATAGTTTTCTGTATCTTTTAAAAAGCTTGAGCTAAGCAATGGCATTTTAAATTACTATCCTCTTATTCTTGTTAACTGGCACACTGAACTTTATGGATAGGTAATATTTCACATGTTTTCCATTACTTAGGGAGTCTATGTAATTTGCCTGAAAAGGACAATAGTGTAGTGCTGTGAAATATAATGAATGCACAGTCCCAGAGCAAACCTTAAACGAAGGTTACAAGCATAAAATGCAGTACAATAATGGTTATTCACAATTGCAAAGATCAGGATTAAATAACCTGAATTAAACATGGATTAAGCTAGTGTCAAGGTTCTGATCACTTTCCTGGTCTCTTAAAAATGGTGCTAACCTATATGGATATTATTTCATTGTTACACTGATATTGTAATATACTGTGTGATAAAGATAGATTATTGTAAGAATTGAAATGTCTGCAAAGTCCTAAGTTCTTTCAGTGAAATAAATTTAGCCTCATAGCACATTACACATTAAAGCCAGGAAGATAAATCTTTTATGTAGTTCATTTAAGTCACAGCTATATCAACCCAGGTAATCACAAAATTATCTTTTGAAGTGGGGCTCTAAATATTGCTGATGCACATTCTGCATAACCTAAGCAGTCTAGTTTTCCCCCTTTGCTCTTTTCCTTTGTCCTTGCCCAGATTAACTGCCCATCACATTTTAAGCTCTAAGATCACAATATCAAACAAAACATGGCAGGTCATTTCTCATTGAACTAATGTTCCATTTGGGTAATGAAGGAGACAAAGATTAGATAGGTGGATGGATGGAGACGAGAAATGTGAAAATGTAAGATGTGAACAAAGATCTGAGTAAAAGTAGTGATCCAACTTTGAGGACTTATGAGGGTACAGTTACACATGGTGGAAAACTCTGGGGAGAACTGAGAGTTCTTGACACATCGGAGGACCAGGAACGGGGTGGTCATTGCTGGCTTAGAGTAAGTTAGGGAAGGGAGAATGAGGAGGAAGAAAAGGCATGAGTGATAACAGAAACCAGATCATAAGTGGCTTTGGTTATTGGAGGATTTATATTTTATTGTGAATTGGAAAGATATAGAGGATTTGGAGAAGGAGTGTTGGATCAGTGGTTCATTCTGGCCATTTTTTGAAGACTAAGGTTGGTAAAATAGAAACAAGGAAACTAATTAGGAACCTATTTTAATAATCAGGCTGGCAATGAAGTTTCCTAGGAGGAGGAGGTAATAAAGGATGTAATAAATAGGCTTATGCTGATAAAGATATTGTGGGGTATGAAAGAAAGGGAGAACTCAGAGGTAACCCCCAGGCGTTTTTGCCTGAGTAGCTAGGACAGTGATAAAAAATTAAAAAAAAAAAGACATTCATTTTTTTTATTAAATGATAGCTGTATACATTAATGCAAACATGAGGTACAGTGTAGTATTTTCATATACAATTTGAAATACTTTCATCAAGCTGGTTAACATAGACTTCATGTCATTTGCTTAGTCATTGTGTCAAAACATTTATATTTTAGTTCTAGAAAAGTTCACTTGTACCCCTGTTAGACAGATATATAGGTGATCTTTCCAGTCACCCTCCCACCACCCAGCCGCCCTTCTCCCCTCCCCTTCCCCAGCAACAGGAGAGGATACGTTACCTTGTTTTACATGACTCTCAATTTTCTCTTCCTACCCAGTCTTTGATAAAAACTGAAATAGACCAATGAGTAGTTTGATTTTAATTTTTTATGCTTGAAAGTAGTAATAACAATGGTGACATCATTTGCTAGTACTTAACAGTTCAGAAAATATTTAATATCCCGTAATACATCTACAGTATGTAATCATACTAAGGATTTTTGTACCTATTCCTACCTTTCCAACCAAAATGAACAAATTTTTCTGGAGATAAAAGGTAAATTGGAAAGGACTGTATAATACATAAAGAAAAATTAATATGAAACTAGGGAAAGATTGGTTTCTTGAAATATATCAAGTAAGAGTTAAGAGAAAGAATAGACTGTAATAAATGCTATTATTTATTACCTGTGACTTAATGTTTTTACTATAATTTTCTCCCAGATCCAAGATTCATTAGTGCTCACCTCATCCCAGAGAGTGACAATCCTGAAGATGACAAAGTATATTTTTTCTTCCGTGAAAATGCAATAGATGGAGAACACTCTGGAAAAGCTACTCATGCTAGAATAGGTCAGATATGCAAGGTGAGGTATAGAAAAAAAAATGAGGATGTCATGGTGCAATCACAGTTTCATTTTTTAAAAAATGTTTCACCTGTGTGTTTGTATTAAAAAAATGTTAAATCTTTGAACTAATATTTAAGTGGTAAAAAATGATTGAAATTTATAGCTCTTCATAGTCAAACATGCAGGTAGAGATTGTGAAGTAAATGGCATTATTTAATAATTACATTAAATGATCCTGGTTTGAAATTCTAGAATACTAAAATATCTTCATTTTTACCTGGAAGAGTATAACTAAAATTTCCTATAAATCTTATATGTTTTGAATGCATATTTGTTTTGCTGGAATATGTGAAGTATTAATTTATGAGAGAAAAACATAATTTCAATTAAAAATTAAATTAAAAAAGAGAAAAACATTATAGGCTATTATTACAGATTAATGATAGGATCCTATGTACACATGTGTACACACATAATTTTGAAGCTTGAGCTTTCACTGGGGTGTTTTGTTTATTATGTGGAGTGACATCGTGTAATATTGCATTATGATGTTAGATGTATAGAATCAAATTACTCAACCACTTAGGGATCAATCAGTCTCATCAATATGAAGAGAGTGGAGCCTATATGTGTGTGAACAAAGTCAACTGTCAGTATATGTTAAAGCATCCTTCAAATAAAGGAAAACATGAGGATAGTTTTAATAATTACCTTTAAATGGAATTCTTTCCTTCTAAGGAAGCATCATGAAATCTCAGCAATCTCTATTTTTTGGGTTATAATGTATAAAATCAGATAAGCAAAATGGAAGTCAGTTCTATTTAAAAGGAACATGTTCCTTTAATTTGTATATATGCTCATAAATAATATTTTAAATGATGTTGTGGTAAATACATACCATCATCATAGAATTTATTGTTTAGGTTAAAACTCAGTTTTATTTATAGTGAGAATGCATTTTCAAAATGTTCTCTCTGGAGGAAATGTCCTTTATTAAAACTTATGTAAATATTTTCTCTACATGCTATCTGTAAAGTCTAAATTGCTTCCACTCTAAGCTTATTCATTATTTGATGATAGAATGCCTTCGTCAGAGATGTATTTTCCATCTCGTTTACAAGGCATGACTTTATCATCCATTCAACATGTCCTCATAGAGTGTGTACTGTGTACCGAGCACTGGCTGTAAACCAGCCTGTGTAGGTAAGATCTCAAGAAATACACAGTAGGGTGCTGCCTGTGGCTCAAAGGAGTAGGGTGCCGGCCCCATATGCAGGAGGTGGGGGGTTCAAACCCAGCCCCGGCCAAAAACTGCAAAAGAAAAAGAAAGAGAAAAAACGAAATACACAATAGTAATACATGAATATTAATGTTAGTTGCAGACAGGAATGGAAAGTGAAATGATTTTTTAAAAAATTATTTATCTTAACAAAAATCATATATACAATACGTTTTGTATTGTGTACAATATGTTTTGAAATATATGTACATTGTAAAATGACTAAATCAATATACCCATCATCTCTCATTCTTTGTGGTGAGAACACTTAAAATTTATTCTTTAAAATTTCACTGTCATTTATACTCATGATGTTGTGTGATAGGCCTCTTGAACCTGTTCTTCCTATTAACTGAAATTTTGTATTCAGATATCTTCCTACTCCTCTCACCAATCCCTGGTAATCTACTCTCCTCTAGGAGCTCAACTTTTTTACGTTCCACGTATAAGTAAGATCCTGTAGTCTTTGTCTTTCTATGCCTGCCTTGTATCATTCAGCAGAATGTCCTCTGGGTTCATCTATTTCGTTTCAAATGAAAGGATTTCATTTTTTACTTTTATTTTTCATTATAAATTGACAAATCATAGTTGTCTATGTTTATGGGATACAGAGTGATATTATGATTTATAAATATAATGTATAAAATAAAATCAAACTAAGATATACTTCACCTCAAATACTTTCTTTTTTCTTTGCAGTTTTTGGCCGGGGCTGGGTTTGAACCCACCACCTCTGGCATATGGGGCTGGCGCCCTACTCCTTTGAGCCATAGGCGCTGCCCCAAATATTTATTTTTTTATGGGCAAAACATTTGAATTGTGCTGTCTAGGTGATTTTGAAATGTGCAAGACATTATTTACTATATTCACTGCACAGTGAGCAAGGATTCGTCTTGCCTGTTCTGTTTCCTTCTTTCTAAGGTTACATGGTAGTCCATCAGGAATCTAGTCCATGTTTTCTTTATCCGTTTGTCTGTTGATAAAGTTACCTTTTAAGGGATAGTATGAGTAGTCCTTTGAATTAAGTTTGAGTAAGTGATTTTACCAACCATTTAATAACAAGTGATAGGTACTCATATCTAATCATTTAAAATGATTACAGAACTTTTAGAAAACAAAAACATGTATTTTATGTAAGAGAAATATTTGCAATTCTCATTTGCATTCGCTCTGCCTAACACCGGTGTGTTCTCTTTGAAGAACGACTTCGGCGGGCACAGAAGTTTGGTGAACAAATGGACAACGTTCCTCAAAGCCCGCCTCCTGTGCTCAGTGCCGGGTCCCAACGGCATCGATACTCACTTTGATGAACTGCGTAAGTCGCTAGTGGTGGTGCATAGAGAACATTTGTTCAGACGTTACCACAACCATCAAAAATGCAACTTTGCCTAATTTTGTTTTAAACAGAGGATGTATTCCTAATGAACTCTAAAGACCCTAAAAATCCAATTGTATACGGAGTGTTTACAACTTCCAGGTAAATAACCTTTTACTTCCTTATTGTCATATGTACTTCGCATTTTCAGGTGCTATCCAAGTACCCATGATGTGTGAAAAGTTATTTTTGAAAGACCAAGGAGTTTATTTAACCTTTGAGCTTTGTGTATTCGTGGATGACTGAAATAAGTTATGAACTTTCCCACCAGATGGTTACCATGTGAATACAGAAACAAAATAAATCTAGGAATACCACAGCAGCCCGCGGGCCTTCTCCCATCACTGTCTTCTCCACATCTAGAATATTTGTGACATTTCCCCCACTCCTACCTGTGGAATGAAATAAAGTAGAAATTCACATACCACTTTGCTAAGTAATGATAGAATTAAATTGCTTTAGGTACTTTAAAAAGTATCACAGGAATGGAAGAAAAAGTATCCAATGCACACACACCTATTGTGAAACTAATTTAAACCTTTTTATATGAAAGCTATAACCTAATAACAACCTAAGGATATGGGAAGGGGGGAGGGAGGGGGGAGGGAGAGGGATTCGAGGGTTCACTTCTGTGGTTCATCTTGCAAGGGTACAAGTGAATCTTTCTATGAGTAGAATATGAATGTTTTGACATAATAACTAAGAAAGTTACATGAAGGCTATGTTAACCAGTTTGATGGAAGTGTCTTGGATTGTGTATGAAAACACCACACTGTACCCCCAAAGTGCATCAATGTACACAGTTACCATTCAATAAAAAAAAAAAAAAATTATTAATATAACAATTCAGGATGTTTTAGTTACATACAGTATTTTTAAAGCTTTTAAAGTCAGTAAATAGATCCTCCTTTCTATCAATTTACTCTTTTTATTAAGATTCCATTAAGTATTTTTATTGACTACCTTATAATCCAGATTTTTAAAATAAGTATTTGAAAAAGAAATAATAAAAGCAAAATAAACAACAGTAACGAGAACCTTTGAGCTCTACGTAAGCACTAGGTTTAATCCTATGTCAAACTCAAGCTTCATCCCCCTTGTCGGCTTCACCCTTCCCCCCCTTCCCCCTCTGTCTTCCTTTCCTCCCCGATTTCCTCCTCCTTCCTTCTTTCCTCACCCTCCTCTTTTTCCTTCCCTGGTCTCTTGCTCTGAAGCATCCATTGTCTCCCTCCAGACTACTAAATTCAGTGTAAAGTTCACATTACCTGGGGTTGTTGAAAACAGCACACATACATATATTTACATGCATATGAAGAGAGAGATGCATTGGGATATGGATAAAATGTTTAAAAAATAATTCGAAATCAAAAAGAAAAATATTGTCAGTGACTTGATAAGATAAAATTAACTGCATTGCTCAACAGTAGTTTATTCTGTAAAAGCATTCCAAATTGCTTGGGCATTTTTATTTAACAATTTAAAAAGTAACACATGAAAATTAAGAAACCCAAATTACTAAAATGATACAAAATTATACATGCCTACCTATTCCTCCTTTTGGTATAATAACAGCATGACTGGTGTAAGGGATGTGGAAGTTTAAGTTAAATGAATGTTAACCCCTTCCTTCTGCTGCCCCAGTGCTCCGTGCAGTGGTTCTCAGACTGGAGCATGGATTAGAATTGCTAGACTGTCTGATACGATCAGATTGCCATGCCAGCTCCCCAAAGTGTCTGAGTCAGTACAAATGGGATTTCTAACAAGTACCCAAGTGATGACCATATGGTTGATCTAGGGACCATACTTTGAGAGCCACTAATTAAGGTTAAAATAATTTCATCTCTCTAATTCAGTGGGATGGATTTTTGTATGTGACTGAGTCTTTTTTTTTTTTTTTTTAAATCATAGCTGTGTACATTAATGCAATCATGGGGTACAGTGTGCTGGTTTTATATACAATTTGACATATTTTCACCAAACTGGTTAACAGCCTTCATGGCATTTACTTAGTTATTGTGTTAAGACATTTATATTCTACATTTAGAAAGATTCACATGTACCCTTGTAAGATGGACCATAGGTGTGGTCTCATCGATCACCCTCCCTCCACCCATCCTCACCCCTTCCTTCCCCCTCTTCCCCATATTCTTGGGCTATAATTGGGTTATAGCTTTCATATGAAAGCTATAAATTAGTTTCATAGTAGGGATGAGTACATTGAATATTTTTTCTTCCATTCTTGAGATACTTTGCTAAGAAGAATATGTTCCAGCTCCATCCATGTAAACATATAAAAGGTAAAGTCTCCATCTTTCTTTAAGGCTGCATAATATTCCATGATATATATATATATATATATATATATATATATACACACACACCACAATTTATTGATCCATTCATGGGTCTTAAGAGTTATAAATAATATTCATCAAGTCATTCAATGATGGCTGATTTCATCAATAATAAGCAAAGTATAGATTAATGGAAAAGGAATGCATAACATAAACATTAAAAACTGTGATGTATCAAATGTGGATAATTTTGTATTTATTCTATTATTAAAATGCTATTAAGTCTATAAATATTTACTTGCGTATCAAGTACCTTGTGATGAGTAATTGACATTCCAGAAAAGACGCTGAGCTTGTCCTTGCTCCTCAGGAAGCTTGCAGTCTACCAGTTTCCAGTAATGAACTCTGAGGGACATATGGTTTTAATTTGATCTGATTTATATGTAGTTTTCTATAGGGAGAGATCAGTTAAAAGATAAGCATTCCCTATTTTAAATGTGCACAGCTATTAAATATGTTTGTATAAATACATTCTTCAAGTCACGTTTATATAAGCAAAATAAAATGGAAAATTGTGGCAGGTCAGTGGCGAATTTCTAGTTTACTTCAATTGCCTGATTTTTGCTTAGCAAAATGGTGGGGATAATTGCTATCATTCTTTACTTTGCCTGAGGAAATAGCTGCTAACTTAAAACTATTTTCTGTGTTACGAAGTGATAATCAAACTCTGTTACTTGATCTAATACTTTTGGTGACTTGGGAGCTAAAAATAACATAATGGGATGCGTCATCTGAAATTGTCAATTCATTTTTTGGCACCAGTTTCAGCTTATAAAATGAGTTCCGAAGCATTCTCACATTTTAAAAAGTTTCCTAGTTTCAGTAATGATGGTTGACACTTAACCGAGTTTATAATTTGCCCATGATATCAAAATTAAGTATTCATGTATAGAATATCATCTGTTTTTCCTATTGAAGTTAAGTAGATTGTTTGATACAAATGTATATATTATGAGTACTAAAGCTATTTCATCCATGCCTTCTATTTTTAAGAAATCATAATTTGTTTTCTGGTGCATTGTGAAAATGACTCAAAATATCACAAATGCTATGTAAGACTGCTAACTACAGTCTGAAATTTAACACCTCAGTAACATTTCTCTTGGTATTATATAAAAGTAAATATTTGTTTTTATTCTTGCTCTCTTTTTTAGTAACATCTTCAAGGGATCCGCTGTGTGTATGTACAGCATGAGTGATGTGAGGAGGGTGTTCCTTGGTCCATACGCTCACAGGGATGGCCCCAATTATCAGTGGGTGCCTTTTCAAGGAAGAGTCCCTTATCCACGGCCTGGAACTGTAAGTGGCTTAGGTGTTTAAAATATAAAGAGGGGAGGGTAGGTGATTGGTGGGATCACACCTATGGTTCATCCTATAAGGGTACACGTGAATCTCTCTAAATGTAGAATATAAATGTTTTAACACAATAACTAAGAAAAAGACATGAAGGCTATGTTAACCAGTTGGATAAAAGTACTTCAAATTGTGTATAGAAACAACACACTGTACCCCATGATAGTATTAATGTACACTGTTATGATTTAATTTAAAAAATATATAAAGTGAATATGTTTCTACCAAAGGTTAAAATATAATGAAGCTATAAACAGATATTCAACACATAAAATGTAGAACAAAGATTCTAAGAATCTAATTGACAACATGAGGATTTTCTGTGATTCTACAAAATTCCACATGTAAAACATGTTCTTCTCAGATGTCAGTGTTGAAGTTCCAAATCTAAAATCTATCAATCCTTTAATTTTCAATCACACATTTCCAGATTTTTACAAACTAATTTTACATGGAAGTAGATAACTACAAAAATAATTTTAAATGTCATGTAAATGTGTTGTATTATGTCTTTAGGTTTTTATATTAATATTTGATATTTCTATAACATTAAATAATTTAGTGATTTTGTTTAAAAACCAAAAACTAAACTTTCAAATCTTTTAACATATTATTTTTACATATGTTAAAATTAATATATATATATATATGTATTAAATATGCTTCTACCATTTCTGAACAGGTTATTTTTCTGCCTTATAAATCGTTAATGATTTTTCAAACTAGGGGCAAAGACAAATGATTTCTCATTCTCAGGTTCTTGTGAGATCAGGAACCTCTCTTAGTTACTGTATTAAAGGCAGAAATTACTTAAGGGTAAGATAAAAAAATAAGAGATTGGATATAGATGATACTGTATGAATGTTTTTGCTAAATAATTTAAAAGAGACCAAGTGAAATCTTAATTTGCTTTTTGTTTTATTGCCATGGATGGTATATTTCTATCCAGAGGTGACATTATGCCAGTGCACAACATGGCCTCTTTTCTGCTTCTAGGGCCATTACCTCTTCTCCTTGGTTATCATGTCCATTCTAATTGGCCAGTTTTTGTGCAATACAGGTTGCTAAAAGCTTCAGGTAACACCTTTCCTCATCATTGGGATTATTTCATTTATTAAAGTCATTGGTGGTACTTTTTCAGGGTTATATTAGAAGCAAAGCAGTAAAGAATAGTTTATTTTTAGTTTGAAAAGAGCACTTATCTAACTATATTTTTGTACCCATTATAACCATCTCCCCTCCCTGCTACATAGAACACTGACGTGATTATAATCAGCAATAAGTTAGGGTATGCTTTAATATAACCAAAAAAGTGAAATTGGGATGTTACTTACACAAAAAAATATGATCAATGCCTGAGCTGGTGGTTATTCTAAGTACCCTGATTTGATTAATTCACGTTATATGCCTGTATCAAAACATCGCATGGACCCTATAAATGTATATGACTATTATGTATCCATAAAAATTAATCACTTTTCAAAATATTTTTAAAAAAAGAAAAGAGTGTTTGTATTTTAGCATAATCCATGATAAAAAATTAAATGTAAGTAAAGTTTATCTTGAGCTTTTTAAATCTAATGGTCAGTCGTAGCATATTCTGTTCACTACACCCAATGCTTCATCTAGTCTATAAATGTACTTATGGTAGTATCACCAAAAGGCATCAGATTTCTCCTGTAGGCTGAATTCATTAGATGTATTTGCAACTTTTGGTAAGAAATGGTGATATAAGTAAATCCCAATGAGAATTAGTATATATTTCCTGAATGTATCTTGTCTATAGCAATTACTCATTTAAGTAAATAGTAGCTAATTATAACTTCTCAGTTTACCTAACTTTGAAAAATAATCACAGGTTTATTAGGCTCCTAGACCATTAAAACGTGTGTTATGTAATTTATAACCATATCCATTAGATTTCAATCAAACTATATTCTTATCTTCACAGTGTCCCAGTAAAACATTTGGTGGGTTTGATTCCACAAAGGACCTTCCTGATGATGTTATAACCTTTGCACGAAGTCACCCTGCCATGTACAACCCGGTGTTTCCAATTAATAATCGCCCAATAATGATTAAAACAGACGTAAATTATCAGTTTACACAAATCGTAGTAGACCGCGTGGACGCAGAAGATGGCCAGTATGATGTCATGTTTATTGGAACAGGTACATTTTTTAACAAACTTCACCTGTAAATTTTCTTTCAGAATACTGTGTTTAACCAATTAAATATAGTTGACACTTGAACAAATCGAGGATTAGGGATGGAGACATCTGCATGGTCAAAACGCCATGTGTAACTTTTGACTCCCCCTAATAGCTAGTCATCACCTCCTGTTGACTGGGAGTCTTACTGATAACAGTTGATTAACATATATTTGTATGTTACATGGATTATATATAGTGTTCTTTCTATAAAATACAGAAAATATAGCATTATTAAGAAAATCATAAAGAGAAAGTAGAATTGAATCATCCTGGTTATCGGCACTTTGAGTAGGCTGACGAGGAGGAGGCAGGAGGATTGGCATTGCTGTCTCAGGGGCAGAAGAAAATCCTTAAGTAAATGGACCCACACAGTTCAAACCTATCTGGTTCAAGGGTCAAGAGTACACTAAGAACCAAAAGTAGTTTTATGGCTACTTTCAAGGTATCATTCACCTATAATAAATTACTAACTACCATGAATATTCTACCATTACCAATGTGTTTTATTTTAACAAGATGAGATGTAATATTATATTAAACCTATTTTTCAGTGAAAAGTTGATTAATCAAGTAAAGCTAACTATGGACGTGAAAAATCAATGTTTATAGATGCATCGTAAATCTTCACTGGCCAGTGGCTTTTTAGAACAAAGATGTATTGCTCACCCTATGTCTGAAATTCCCAGGACATTCAATCATAGCTCCAGAATAGACTAATCAAAAATTATCTGAACGTTAAAATTACCGTAGGCTAAATTTCTTCTAGCAAATAAATGATAGCAACCAAATTTCTTCAATGTTTCTGTCAAATGCTTATTTAGAAAAACCACAGAATTGATCCAAGGAATCTCCAGATACTTTTCTGTAGAAATTTGACTATTATATATTAAGTAATTCCATGATTAGAAACACATTTGGTACAGGTATATTTTCAGACTGAATTCCATTGTTATTATGACATATTATTTTATTTTTCCCATGCTTTTCTTCATAGTCATACTATTTTTGAATGCACCAGTTACAAATCTCATACTTGCTACTTAGGGTCAGCTTGCAAGGTAATAAATTCCTCGCCTCCATTAACGTTGTTAACTGACATAAATCAGTGGGAAACAGAGCGAGAGCTCCATTGAAACCTTGTATAATAACATTTATTTTCCCGTGTTGAGAAACAGAAAAAAATTGCATTAACTATAGGGGAAAGGCAACTACATAGTAAGTGCTTTAAAGGCTTAAAGTTTTATAGCAAAATTGTGAAATATTAATGTTATCAGGTATAACAGTGCCAGGTTCTGAACAATCCATTAAGTCTATTTTTATGGGTAAGAAGGTTTCTCTATCAAATAAAAGAATCCCAGTGAAACTCAGGGTTCATAAAAGTCAGTGAGTTGAGAGTATCAACTTCTGGTTATAAATATCTTTAGAAAATAGAAGATGATAGAATTTCCCATCAATTAGTGTTAGTTTATCATTTGATGTCAAAGTACAGTCACATCTCTCTGCAGGGTAATTAAGTTTGTTCAATAATGTCACACTTGCCTTTTTCTTAACCTCTGGCTTAACTCAATGAGGAATTCCTCACTCACTGTCAGAGCAGTAGAACTTGCTTGCAGGTATTTGACCAAAAAAGTCTTATTCATGACCTTCTAATTCCTTTTGGACACAAACTGTCTTTAAAGGCAGTGATTCATGAGAATGTGAAATGTCTAATGTGGTGGACGGCTATCGGTCAGTGCAGACCAAGGTCACTTGTCAGCTCAGTAAATTGATTACAGTAATTTCATCTTTTAACTAAGTTGCAGATCACAGTATATTGATCCTAGTTGAGTAATCTGATTCAATTTGTGTGAAATTGTTTGAAATACTACTTAGTAAAACTTGATCTGGAGACCAGATCATAGGCACTGGGTAGTTAACCTAATTTCCCTTTAATCTTTAGTGTTACGAATAGTTTATGGTCCTGTACACATAGAAGGTTCCTCTTAAAAGTACAGGGTTTTTTAAAAAGTTTATAAGAGATAAATTAACAAACCTTCTTCATCTCATGTAGCACATTATCAATGAATTATTTTTCTGGTATAACTTATTCTTTTTTTAATCAAATATACCAAGTAATGGTATAACTTAGTCTTCATTGGTAAATTTTTCTTCATAATTACTCTGTTCAACTTGATGAAAATGGACGAATTGAAACTGGAATGAATTGACTAAGTTTTGTCAGACCTGGAATGCTGAAGAGTCAGATTTTTTAATTTAATAAGGCCTTATTCCACCAAAGACCAGGGACATGTCTATAACACTGGAAAATGGGTATCGTCTTAACTCAGAGTAAAGGTGATGGCTTCTGTCATTACAATAATCTGTGTGGTTTTTTATTTGGGTTTTATTTTTTTGCTGGGGCTGGGTTTGAACCTGCCATCTCTGGCATATGGGGCCAGTGCCCTACTCCTGTGAGCTACAGGTGCCGCTCATAATCTGTGTCTTTTAACAATGAAAATTTGAAATCTCTATAAAAAGTATTCAGCTTAATTGCTGTATGGTTTTGGCTTGAGAATTTTTAATTTCTTTAATGCTCTAAAAACTTTTTAACCAATGCATGCATTATTGAAAAACCACTGTAATGAGTAATTCTGTTTTTACTTTGAGATCAGATTGCTGTCATTCACGACTTACTGGTAGTGGACCTTTCATTAGGGCCTCTAAATTCTAGGAAAGAATTTCAAGTGAAGAGGCAGGGCTCAGAAGCTCTCTAACTACTGCTGTTCCTTGTCAATATTTCTTGCATTTTAAATTTATATTTAGTCTTCATAGTAGGACCCTGATTGTGTAATAAAAGTGCGATAACCTATCATATTAACTGGTATTATTTTTAGAGTTTTTTCTGAGACACCTGACAATTAAAGAGATTTAAAAAATAATGAACACAGTTAATTCAATTTAGCTAATCTCTACAGTGATTATCATATTAAAAAAAATATGCTGCCTCACAATGTAAGCTTCTTCAAACTTAATACATTTCTAAAAATGTATTCCTTTATGTTCCAAGAATATATTTATAATTTATCTTCATGGTTTGTCTAATTGCATGAAATGCATTTAAAAATACATATAATAGGTTACTCATGTTTTGACCAAAAATAAGGAAAAATTGATAAAGTTTTTTTTGTACAAATATTAATCCCATCAGTTAGCACTATACTCTATTTAAGTTGTGGTCTTCTCTCTTTCTTTCAAAGACGTTGGGACCGTTCTTAAAGTAGTTTCAATTCCTAAGGAGACTTGGCATGATTTAGAAGAAGTTCTGCTGGAAGAAATGACAGTTTTTCGGGTAAGTGCTGCTTAATTTCAAGTGTCAACAAGTTCAGTTGTATGTCTTCCCCCAGGACAGCTGCACACTGAACTTGGTGTGGACAAGTAGTCTAGCATACCCTTCTAATTAGCTTGTCAATTAAAACGCTAGACACTAGTCAAAATAAACCTTGAAACTTTCAATGCTGGTTAAATCTAAAGATGTAAAAAAATATATTCTTGGCTCATATTTTGTTTTCTCAATGATAAAATATATGATTTAAGTTTTATATTATTTATGTAATTGCCTCAATGGACAAACCACTCCCTCTTCCTAAAATCTCCCTGTTCTCACTTTCTTGGATGATATGAAACTTCTGTAGCTATGTTAAGAAAAATAACATTCATAAGGACAGAACAATAAAGATATTTTGATCATTTTTAACTTATGCATTATTTTATGACTTTTTTAAAAAAATGTGTTAGTAAAAGAAAATTTGAGATTTTTACACTCAACGATAGAGTAAATTTGTCGTAGATTCTAGTCTCTTCACTCAAGAAATGTACAGGTATTGGTCCCTTTCTTGTGATTCATGGCAGGCTCAGGTAATCCATTAAGTTTATGTAGGGTTGGGAAGTTAGAAACAGCAGGACATGAAGTAAAGGGAAAGAGGAGAGGTGGAATAGTGCACCATATACCACTGTGTCTATTGTTCCTTGAGGGAAGTTAGCTAGTAGGAATAGTGTGTTTGGAAGTATACTTTGCTATGCATTGTTTATAATATGCCAGAGAGTAGATGCCTATGAAATTTTGATAATAAAATAGATCAAACAGAAATTAAGACATTTATAGCTACAAAGTAAACCTGAATTAGACAAAGATGGTGAACAAAAAAATAAGAAAACATTGGATCTGCTCTTACAACTTCAAGTGATCTCTTTTAGCTTTCAAGATTCTCATGTAGTTTATCTATAAAATGAAAGGTTTAGATTACAATTTTCAGCTAGTTCAATAGTTTAGTAATAAGCAAAGTTTTCCCAAGACTTCACTTAACCTTGTATTTTTTATACCATTGGACAAACCCAAAGGGCTCTTGTTCACTATTCAGTGCAATATGTGAAAGAGAAAACAAAGTGTAATATGGAAAGCTTCCGATGTATATTCATTTAACTAACATTATAATTAGCATTGAAACATACAGCTGGTGCATTGCAACATTTTGTAATTACAAACTAAATGTTATTCTAGTGGAAAAAGTGTAGGCTCCTTGGTCACATCTACATGGCAGTCATGTTTGGAACACTTACATGGTCCTCTCAATGTTCCCATCAGTAAGGTAGAATAATACCTACTTCTCTAGAAATCTGGAAGAATTAGAGACACTAAGAGAAAAGCATCAGAAATAGGGGCAGGCACTGGGCTCAAAACGTTGTTGGGAATATAATTCTATTATTTTCATTTAGCTAAAAGGAAAATAAGCTACATTATTTTTATAGTCTTTTCTACTGGTCTTAGGCTTATGTCTTCAAAGTAATAACATCATTGTATATCTATAATGATTTTTAAAATCAAGTATATTGGCCTTACTTATAATAATTTATAAGTTTAAAAGTGGTCCAAAGTGGTCTAAAGTATTAATCTGGTGTAGAGTGATGGCTAATACCCATTATTCATCATGTCTCATAAGTTACTTCAATAAACAGATGCACTGTACTTTAGCTTACAAACTAAAAAATCACAATTAACCAGATGGACTATGTTTAGACATTGCAAACCAATTATGAGCACTGAGGGGTAGATAAGGAAATTGCTGTCTTGTGTTCATTGTTCTCTCTCCAGAGCCTAAAATGTCTTTTCAGTCAATATTTATTAAATGAATTAGTACTGATGACAAAATTAAGTATGAGAGGGAGATTAAAGAGTTGAAGACCTTCCTTAGAGACACAAGCTTAAACTAGGAAGAGCCACAAGTGCTCTTGCTGATTCTGTCCCATATTATTCTTTAGAAGAAAAGAAAATTAACATTTACATATACTTGTTGATTAATATTGCCACCACCATTGCAAATGAAGCTAGGAGCCAATTATTTACAAACTCTTTTGTATTGATCATGGTTCCTTTGCATATTTGCCTGCAGTTGGTGTATATTATAAATTAGACCATAAATGACTACATATCAGCTCCTACACTGGATCTGGCACTATGCTTAGTTTTGGCGATACTGGGATGAACAGTGTCAATATGGTTCCTGACCTCAGACCTCTTTGATGTGTTACCCTCTTAATTTCTAGCTATTAATTTTGGGCCTATTAATGCAATTAAATTTTATTTTGTAGAAATGTTTCATGTTACGTCATGACACCTAAAAATAGATATTTTTATTATTTAATTATTTGCAGGGATTTTAGGAATTACAAAGTGAATTATTTTGCTATGATACTATGTTCTAGCTAATTTGCATTCTTCGTACCACAGGGATTTTAAGTTCATATTTCATACCTTAACCATGTTCTTTAGCACATTAATAAAAATTTCATTTCAAATGATACTCATTTAAGCTAACCAATTAAGGTATTTTAACAAAATTATGTGGTATTGGAAACCAGTAATCTTGGAATTACAATCAAGCACTGAATGATGAGGATTCAGTCAACAATAAACAACATATGTGATGGTGGTCCCATGAGATTATGGGGACCGAAAAAATTCCTTTGCCTAGTATTTTCTATACTATACTTTTTATTATTACTTTAGAGTATACTACTTCTACTTATAAAGGAAATTTGACTATGAAACATCCTTTGGCAGCTGTTTCATGAGCCATTCCAGAAGAAGGCATTGTTATTACAGGAAATAACAATTTCCTATGTCTTATGATGCAGAGATATGAGAGATGCGCGTTATTGCCCCTGAGGACCTCCCAGTAGGGCAAGGCGTGGATGTGGAAGACAGTAATATTGATCTTGACCCTGTGAGACCTAGGCTAATGTGTATGTTCGTGTCTTTGTTTTTAGCAAAAACCTTTTAAAAGAATAACAATAAAAGTAAAAATTTTTCAAAATATAAAATTAGCTTATAGAATAAGAATATAAAGAAAAATACTGGGTGGTGCTGGTGGCTCAAAAGGGTAGGGCACCGGCCACATATGCCAGAGGTGGTGAGTTCAAACCCAGCCCCGGCCAAAACAAAATATATATTTTTTTCGTATGGCTATATGTTTGCATTTTAAGATAAATGTTATTATAAAAGTGTCAAAAAGTTTAAAAATGACTAAAAGCTTTTATTGTAAAAAATGTTATAGTAAGCTAAGAGTAAATTATTCTTAAGGAAAGAAAATAATGTTTTAAATATAGTGTAGCCTAAGTGTAGAGTGTTTATAAAGTCTCCAGCAGTGTACAGCAACGTCCTCGGCCTTCACATTCACTCACTGCCTCACCCACAGCAGCTTCCAGTCCTACGTGATATAGTCATGATCAGTGCCCTATGCAGGTGTGGCTCTTTTTAATCTTGTATGTGATATTTTTACTGTACCTTTTCTATGTATAGATGTGGTTAGATACCCAGATCGTTCCCATCGTGTTACAGTTGCCTACACGTTCAGTGCAGCAACTGCCGTCCAGGACCCACAGTCCGTATCTCACAGTCTAGATGTGTAGTGGGCTATGCCACCTGAGTTTGTTAAGTACACTCTGGGATGTTTGCACAAGAACAAAATTACCTAATGACAAATTTCCCAAAGCACAACCTCATCAGTAAGCCATGCGACTATACAAATAGTAGCTGTTAGCATGTGTTCCTGTTCGGCAGTTTCTAGAGAAATACACTGATAATATAATCAGCTTATTCCTGTGATAAGTAGTGGATGATATTTGTGTGGCATTTAAGATATGAGACAGTTTATCTGTCTAATAATTCAATTTAAATAATCAATATTGTGCGGGCGTGGAAATGATCCTTTATGAGTCTACACTTTTGTAAAAAGATTGTTCGCAACCTGGAATCCATATCCTCCCATAGAAAACTGTTGACGTTCTCTTACATATTCTCTGTGATGCGTTATTGTCACTATTATTTCTTTGGCACTCAAGTAGACAAAACATATTTGGCCAAAGTTTAGAGAAATATTTACTTTCAACATTCTATTCTATCAGGCAGAGTTCAGACATATATTGTGGTCTAGCAATTGGAATATTTCACTGTCAAACCTTGTTTAATTTTGTAGTGAGAAAAAAACAACATGTGAAGCCATAGCTGTACACGGTGAAACCAGCAAAGAAATGTTAAGTTTCTATGTTTCTGTTTGAACCTTGTATGACATTCTATTTAAAATAAAACACAAAAAAATTAAAGAAAATTTGCCAAGGTAAATAGAAAGGTAGGGTCATGATAGTATCTGATACTCTAGGAACTTTTTAAAGACTTTTCATGTTAATCAACCAGTTAATTTTACCATATTATCATCTCCAAGAGACCATGTTTGTTATGAGTGTTTGCTAGACTGACCAACTGAACCTCATATAAATCACTGAATCAAAATCCATTGCCATCTTGGGCTGGGTTTAGGAAAATACCCTGCCAATCACAGAACATTCTGGTGGTTTCAGTTAATCCAAGATCCTTTTCCTTTGGGTGAAATCAAATCCCAATCAGAGTACAGAAACAACTATTCTTTGATAATAAAAATTTCCATTTCAGAGTAAAGCTTTTAGTAAGTAGTAAGAGATGAAATGAAAATGGCATCGGTATAGTATTCTAGAAATGAGTTTGACTTGCTACTAACTATTCAAATGATATTAAAGTACTAAGACAACACAAGCCTACTTCCAAGTATGATTCACAGTCATAAACTTGAATTTAAATCATAAATCATATTTACTAAGTGATTCCGAACAAATTGCTCAAAGTCAGTAGAGCCTCAACTTCATCTCACACTGAAAATTGTGATTATGGACATTTCCTTTCTTATAGTGTTTTTTTAAAAATTAAATTTGCTTTTAAGTAATGGTTAGTGTTAATTAGTTATACAAAGTTAAACAATCCCTTTTAAAACTCCATATATACATACCTTATTTTCATAAAGATATTCATAAGATAGGAAAGCCTGACTGAAGGCTGATTTTACTGTAACTAGTCCATTTGGGATTTTCTTTTCAGTCTCATTAAAGAGGGTTTTACTTTTGAGACAGTGAAGTATTAACATCAAGTTGCAGTACACTAGGACACTGGCTTTACCTCTAGTCCCCTGACTGCAAAGGATCGCAAGGCAGTAACATTAATAATTTAACACATTAAACCTAATTAATGCAATATTCCACGAACAGCTGAACAAACAAATGAAAGAGTTTAATTTTCATTCAAATGTAAAACTTAATCAATGCGTTCCCAAATCCAGTCTATCAGCTCATTCTAAAGGAGCATCCTTCTGCATAGCATCCAGGGAGCTGGGTCAGAATCCCCCAGGATCAGCAGGTTGAAAAGGGTTGAAAGTGAGAAAGCTTAATAAAGACTAGATTAAAATAGCTGGAAAAATAGCAAGTTGGAGTCATAGAAAATCTTGGAAAGATGCTGTTTTTAATTTCATTTTTACTCAAACCCCAATTAAATTTGCAATTGAGACCTATTTCCTAAAAACCATGCCTGTGAAGTTACATCTGTTTTAAATGGAAGTTATATTCACCACCAGTTATTTCTCTGAAAAAATACAGCTTATTTAAATGGATGTCATCTTAATATATTGTCTATTAAAATTCTACCTCAGGCACCATATAGCACTCTTGTTCTAAACTGTTATTAATTTCCTGGCCTAAATAATAAATAAAGTTCCTTTAATTAAGGGTTTCTAGGACCCTCGGTTAAGAATGTTGAAATCATAAAATAACATAATGAAGTCTGGTGTATATTAGGGTATCTTTTATATTTTACAATTTGTATATGAAATAATTAATTTTCACATGTCTTATAGATATTTTTTATTGTCATTGAACATGAACTGCATGAATATAAATAAGCTTCATCTTTCAAAAGAACTTAGAGACAGCTAATTTTCACTTCAGTTACATTTGCTGTCAATTCTTCTCTGCCTAAGGAACGCTTTCCTTGAACTTTGACTGTAAAATGTATTTCATGAAAACCTACATGAAGTTAGCTGCTTGCATAAACACTTAACTATTACTCATGTGACCTTTTCAGTTTGGGTTATTTTATTCCAATATTTTACAGACCTAAATATATTCTTCAGCTTTGTCTTTTGTAGCTAAATATCTGTGATGAATTGGGCCCTTGATTCTAAAGATCATATCCCTGTTCAGACAGAATTGGTAGACAATTGTTTCATCATAATTGTTTTTATGATTGATAATTCCTGCAGAAAATATATTTAGTAATATTCATGTAAGGTATAAAATGGATATCTATGAAAAATCACTAAATTAGGCCATTATATTCTAATCAGGGGTCCTCAAACTTTTTAAACAGGGGACTAGTTCACTGTCCCTGAGACCACTGGAGGGCCAGACTGCAGGCCCCGGGACGAGTCAGCTGCTAAGCAGGACAGGTAGCTGCAGCAAAAACACCCAGCGGGCTGGATAAATGTCCTAGGCGGGTCGCATGTGGCCCACGGCTATAGTTTGAAGATGCCTGTTCATTTGTCTCATGTATGTCTCAAACAGATGGTCTTAAATTTGTTTATAAAATCATGTTAGTTTAGCCATCAGGGTTTAAAATGGAGACTTGCAATTCTGCAGTGCACAGAGGGTAATTAAAACCACCAGAGTGAATGAGCTCACCAGGACAAGAAGGTGGAAAGGAGGCGTCAAGGGAAAGCAAACAGGCAGGGGTGGCGGGAGGATGAGAAGAAACTGTGATAAAGGCTATTCAAAAATAGTCAAGGAAGAATGCCGAGCAATGCCGAGCTCATGGGTGATTTCAGATTCTAGGACTAGCAGGCCAGCTGTCCAGAGTGAGGACACGAATCAGTGGGTTGATGGGTAGACGGCATTGGATGAAAAATGAGCAAGGAAAGAGGGGTACATAATATTTATATTATTTTTGAAAAATTCCAGCTAAGCTACAAGGATCAAGAGAAGACTTTTTAATAAGATGTTATCTTCATCTTACACAAATTCAGTGGAAGGAAGAGAGTATAATGGGATAAGATGAAGAGACAGGAAAGAGGGAAACTGGTAAAGCATTTATTCATTCGTTTATGCATTTAACAAGTATTTATTAAAAACGTAAATATAGCAGGTATAATTCTAGGTGCTAGAGATATGGCAGTGAACTGAACCACCTCCCAAATTGAGGCAGACAGAGGATTAATAAGACAATGAAACGCCTCTGCTGCCTCCTCACATGCAGTCAGCCTCGTCTCTGAGGCCCACCTTGAGTCTGACTTTACGCCCCAGAAGACCAAAGACAAGAAAGCATCATAGCTGAGGATGTGCAAGAGTTAACACCCCCGAGCGCCTGCAGGGAGTAAGGGAGTGAACAAATAATTTTCCTGGTAGGAACCTCACTGGACTATGTTGAGAGTCACTGTTTACTGTCCGCAGCCTTTTTTCTTAGTGGTGACTTCCATGACATGTATTTTTATTGACTTTTCTGCCTTCCTCTCAATCCTCAATTCCTCATTCCTGCTCTATACCTGAAAAGAAGATCTTACTTCAAATTCTGTTTGGAGATTTGTGGTCTTATGAGACCTAATATATATATACATATATATGTAATATGTATATTATCTTTATAGATCCATATATATCTATAAACTATATTTTATATATCTTTTATATATATAAAATTTACTATATTATTTTATATGTATCTCCAGTGATAAGCACTGAAGGGAAAAATTAGAAATGAGGTGGGATTTTGTGTATGTGGGAGGGGAGAATGGGAAGAACACTGCATCGAGAGCTTTTGTGAAGCGTCATCCATGTATTAACTCGTTTCATTGTCTCACCAACCCTATGACAAAAGTACCATGACCTTCATTTTTCAAACGAAAATACTAAATTACCAAGAGTCCATGGTACCTTGTTTAACACCATACTCCTGCCTGGGTGTGTGGTATTAGTCACAACTTGAGTCTGTCCAGTTTGGCTCCAGGGTCAACTCTCACACTTTCTTTAGGTTTTGGCGTCAGTTACTTACACAATGAGGCCTTTTAAGATCCTTTCTGTCTTAGCATTCTGTTTGTTTTGGATAAAAGATATGAGCTGGAGATCTAAGGATACGAGCTAATATGTTCAGGTGTACAGTCTTTTGGTGGTCCGCAGTGACCAGACAAGATTTATTTATGCAAGTCTATAACATATTCATGATAAAGTCCGGATAGAAAACTTAATGAAGTGCATTGGTGAGTGTTACTTCCCTGGTTATTACTTCTTAATGTTAACCTGTTGATAGATACTGAAGAGATTATATTCTCTGCCAAAGACTTGAGTGTAGGTCCTTGCACATTAAACAGTGTTTTGAATAATACTAAAGTAATCCAATCCCTGCTGAGCTCTTGCAATCCTTGACATCTGAAAACTGGCCTAACATTATAAGGTTTCATTGGTGGTGTCAGGAGTTGGAGGAGCTGGCTTGACACTCTCAACTGAGCCACACTGTTCTCCATTGAACATAACAACTTTCTCAGAATACCTACATCAGACAGGGCTACTCTGAGACCATGATGAATCGAGATAAAAGCAAGACCATTCTATAATCACGTCTAAACACAGACGAAAACATGAACATTGTCCAAACCACAAAAATGACCACATATCTCCTAAGCCTAATTTGAGTGATCCCTACTTCTATAGCAGTCAGAGCTCCAGTCTCACTCTGTTCTCCTTTCCTTCTAAATGATTTATGCAGATAGTGAATGAAAGAATTACCCAGACTTTTTACAGCATCCAATGTGGAGGAAAGCCCTACTTCTTAAAGGTCCCCTCAATTACGTAACACGAGCCCCAAACACAGCTTTCCCGCCTTCTCCCTATGCTGTCCCATCAGGCCCACGTTCCCCCTTACACGGCAACAAGTGACCAGCCCAACTTGCTGAACTACAAGAGCAGTAAACTGGACGACATTGACATGACCTTAGTGTCTGCTCAACATACCAGACACCTATACATGCAGTTTCCTTCACCTGTCTCATTTCCCAATTATATTACTTCTTATGGGAAGTGAAGTTATTTCTCTGAAAATGTGTCAGTGCCTGGTGCTAATTAATAAATATGACTTTTCTAACTGACTACCTTTTTTTGTCTTCTTTAGGAGCCAACTACTATTTCAGCAATGGAACTGTCCACCAAACAGGTATTGTCATTAGGTATTATGGTCCATATTCTATATTTTGCTAATTTTTGATTCCAAGTAAATCTATTTATATCAAGTTGTCCAGATTTATTAACAATTGTACACAAAAAGAAACCAGGAGCAAAGAAATTCCTATAATAAGCCAGTAGAATAAAAGCTAAAAATAATTTTCATTGTTTCCAAGGTACTAATCAAGCTTATCTGTATACTATAGACATTTTATTGATGATTATTGGTTGTAAAATTTCATTTGGTATTTATTTTTTTGGTCATTATAATTTAGTCCTCAGTAATTGTTTTCAACTCTTCAGACACATACACACACACACACACACACACACACATTGATGGATATTTCAGTATACAAAGAAGTTTATAATATAATTTTACTTTGCAAATATAGACAAAATATATTCTATAGGCAAAAAAAGTTACTCACTAGCTATATGTGTTTGGAGGATCTTGACTTGAAAGTTAATTTTACTTTTCCAGTAGCATTGTGTGCTAGAGAAATTAAATGTCTTTAACTTTGGCTAGATATAAAAGGAAAACAAAAATTGGTAACTGCCAAATAACAAATTATAAAACTCCATGAATTCAAAGGCTGAGGGCAGCGTGTTAATAGTCTTTCCATTTAGAGTGAATGAAAGTTTTGGCAAGATGTTAAGAAATGTGAATGACTTCGAAACGCTAAATTATACATGCAAAACAAACAGTTACAGCTTCAAATAGATTATATTTCCCTATAAACGTTACCTAGACTTTCTATCCAGTATAGTAGTAACTTTAAAAAAGGCGGGGGAAGGGGAATAGAAAAAGCCAGAATGAAGTAGAGTGTACCTTACTCATCGTATTCCCGAACTGTTTACATATTTTAGCTCTGACTTCGCTTTATCCCACGAACAAGTCCCTCGTTACTGTGCCAATATAATTCAGAGTGTATCTTTTCCACAGGGATGTATCAAAATAGATTGATAATCTCCATGATATTTAGGGCAACTCAGAGGGCAGATATTATTGACCCGATACTGTTACCTTACACTTCATAAATACGTGTTCACCTGTTCTTGAAATCTAAAAATTGTCCGAGGTTGGAGAGGAAATCTGGGGATCTCCAGGAGGGAAGTTAGACTGAGAAATTCTTTTCCATAATGATTTTCAAAATTAATTATTTATTTTCTGCTAGGCCTCATAGCCAATCTTAATTACATTACCTCCACATTTAGTTTGTAAAGCATGAGTTTCTCTTTTACATTTTTAAAGCTACCTAAAAAGTTGCCTAGTAACCTCACGTTTTACCGGCAAACAAAAACAATCTATCGGTATAAAATGCCAGGGTATAAGACAGAGTCTCAGCCTTCCTTTCCTATTACTGGAAGTTTGATTTCATTCGGATTATGATTTAATCGCATTCATTCTTACGGGCATTTTAAAAGTAGTTTCAAGAGGGATAAGTAATGTTGCAACTAATTTTCCAGATAAATAGACTCATCTCCTGCTTATGGCCCTCAACTTATTAAGGAGGATAGTGAGAAAGCCTGTGGTGAGGTTAAATTGGGCAGAAAAAGCACATCAGGTGACTTACTAGTGCCTGGATTCTGCTCAGTGGTGCCTGCAAACCTACCCTCTATTTCCTTTGGAGAGCAGAATGATGTCTGCACATCATTTGTAATTGAGGAGCATTCTGGTAAAATGAAAATGATACTGAGTTGTATTTAGTTTTTGTCGCTTTGTCACACTTTAGGTTTTCATTAAAATAATTTCCGTGGGCCTGTATTTGGTCTTTTATTCTTTTTTTTTTTTTTATTCTTTTCTTTTTGTCTTTATTGTTGCTCTGTGTTCTCCTAAGGTAATATGACAGATTTAGATACTGTTATTTAATCCATAACACTTTCCTTTATTTATCTTGTTCTTAAAAATCTGTAAGTAGGAATTTTGCTCATGTTTCTTAGAAGATATTGATAGACAGAGAGATCTTTTGATAGTATGACTTACTTGATCCCGTGTTTTAAATAGTCACAATCACGATATATGACTGTCACACACCAGATTGCCAGCCACGTTTCTGGCTGTTACTACCTTATTCTCACTAATTCCATTGTTGGAATATCATGTATTTGTATTATTTTTATCACATTGAAATTGTTTATCTTTAATAGAATCTAAGTTTTTTGTTTTTTTTTAAGAGGCTGTTAGAAGAAAGAACGATAAGGGAGAAATAATAATACATCATTCTCCCCCCCAGGGATTTTAACCATCATTTCTTAATTCATCCTGGTTTATAGCTTAATTCAATACAGCAATAAAAACTGAGTATAATTAAAACGCTTAGCACTTAGCAATATATGTTATAATTTTTTTTCCATTTAGTGAAATGGAATAGCAACCAAAATAAATGCTTCTATGATGGCTTGTTTTTAATTGTGTTACTTTTCCCCTCTTATTTTCTTTTCTTATACAAAGTTATAATTGGTTTGATTTATTCATATCACTATCTTCCACAGAAACGCTACTTATAACCATATTAATTTCTTAGATTCTGAGAGATACTTCACTCTGCATTTAACTGATCTGATTATTTATACATATATTAAAGTCTCTAAAAATGCAATTTTAATTATATCCATTGCTGGCAATTACCCAGTGTGTAACTTTTAAAAAGCATACCATTGTTCAGAGACTGACTTCTCTGAAACTCATCTTTCGTTTATATACTAGAGGAATTGAAATACACATTTGAGGTCTTTTCAATGTGTACTATTAAATGTTTTAATATTTACATAACTTTTATTTAAGCCATATGATAACTATTTAAAATCCTCTAGAGCAAGGAAGGGAGCTCTAGTATTAATTATAGTAAATGTGGAAAATCCCACAATAATTATATTCTTTTGTGTTTACATAAATTTACATTTAATATGCTACCCTGGCTCAACTTTGCTAAAGGCATTGTGAAAATTTTACTGAAACCCTGAATCAGTAACATTTTTAAAAATATAATCTCACTCTGTCACTCTGGGTAGAGTGCCATGGCATCTTAGCTCACACCAACCTCAACCTCTTGGGCTCAAGTGATCCTCTTGCCTCAGCCTCTCAAGTAGCTGGGACCACAGGTGCCCACCACAATGCGTGGCTAGTTTTTCTATTTTTAGTGGAGACAGGGTCTCACTCTTGCTCAGGCTGGTCTTGAACTCCTAAGCTCAAGCAATCCACCCTCCTTGGCCTCATGGAGCAATAGGATTATAGGTGTGAGCCATCCCACTGGGCCCTCAGTAAACTTTTTTTAATCTCCCACATTCTAATTTAGTAACACCAGTTTCATGGAGGATAATGGCACTGTAGTATATTTTATCTGAATGTGTACTGTAAAGATCTGTTAAACATGCTTATTTTATGGATAAGGAAGTTAATTATTAGAAAAATCATATGAATGGCTCTCAATTATATGGCAAATTAGTGCATCCAAACTATATGGCAAAACTTAGAATTCAGGCCTCATGATGCCCAGTCCAATGTTTTTCTACAACATTTCATCATGGTTTATAGATTGCACCAGTGTGATTTGGTTCCTCTTTTTGATAATCTTTCAAAAGAGAAATAATCTCATGGTTTTGTTTAAAATCATCTTCATAAAGGTATTACAAGAGCAAGGCAGTCCTTGGTGTTGAGCCAAAACATTTTTCAAATGCAAACACCAAAACTTTGCCATCTTTTAGAAGGTTCATACCCCATCATAGGCAAGGTTCATACCCCCAATGTGACCCGAGAGTCATAAGCATATACTTCCCAACTCAAGCCATCTGGAACGCATGACGATGAAGACTGTTTTGTGAATCAATATTATCAACAGTAGGAGTGAAAAAGGAAACATCCTAAAAGTAAGAACAAAAATGAAAGGTTTGTTCTTGGTGTATTACTGTCTTTCTCGTGCCTGAATTTTATTCTTCACAGCAGACACCTGTTTCAGTCTAACGTTTAGAACTGGCTCTAGCTCCATTTTAAACTGTCATTTTATCTACCAGGCCTCTAAAGAAACTCTTAAGAATGTGTATTTTTAAACCCATAAATATACTTTCTCTCTGATAATTTATACATAATGAAACTTTCTTTTACTCAAAAAAAGAAGATTTGCAAGAACAGGCTAGTTCATCTCATGAGAGTAAACTTTGTCCACAGCAACAGCTCTACATTGGTTCGACTTCGGGGGTTGTTCAGCTGCCTTTGCATCGATGTGACGTTTACGGGAAAGCCTGTGCCGAGTGCTGCCTTGCCAGAGACCCTTACTGTGCTTGGGACGGCTCTTCATGCTCTCGCTATTTTCCCACTGCAAAGAGGTAGGAAAAGTCTTAAAAATAAAGAAAATGTCTTATTAACCTTACCTGATTCCACTTTTGGAACCCCTCTCTTCAAATAAGTACATCACCTTTTAGTAATGAATAAGAAAAAGGTTTGGGAGCAGGAAGTGAGGATTGTATTTCTTTCCTTCCAAAAAAAAACAGTAAAACAATTAGAAAAATGTAAAAGTCTGACCATCAAGTTCACAAACTCATCCGAGACAAAGTGGTATAGGCCTCACTGCTGAGCATCACGACAATCACCTTGGAAGTCTTCCCCTGGGGAAGCTATGCCCTGATATTGGGGCCTAGTCCACCCTTCAGGCAATTTTGGAACTCTTTCTGGAATGACCATTAGAGCTGTCTTCATACGAAGCCTGACAATTAAATTTGCCAACTCATCACCGTGTGTTTACAGTGGCAGTTCTGTAGAAAGAACTCGGTAAGGTTTCAGACCTGTTATTTCAGTGTCCCCCAGCTGTGCTTCCGTGTGGGGAGTCACGGCAGTGTCTTGCTGGGTGGCATGCATTATTGTTGCTTATTTCTGAGCCCAGATGGTCCTTCTAGAGAAAGAGTTCCAAAATTGCTTTGAAAAGGTGGACTAGGCACTTGCGTCCGTGTGTAGCTTCCCGCAGGAGAACTCTGAAGGTGACTATCGTGATATTCAGCAATGAGGTACATAGCACTTTTCCTAGGATAAATTCACAACCTTGTTAGACCGTATGTAAGAGGAAAGACCGAATGTAATAGATTATCTTACTAAATTACTGAAAGAAATTAAAGATAACATAATCATATCCTTTTTGTTTACACTTGGAAATTATGCTCCTTTGCAACTTCATTTTACCAAAGCTAACGTCACAGAGAAAGTCATGAACAGAATCTAGACTGAGCCTTATAACTTTGATTGAAGTGCTCCATTGTCCAAAAATGCTCTATTTTTATCAGCAATATTCTATCCTGGTTTTAAATTTCAATAAGGCAATTTATAACCCTAGATGAATAGAAAATTCTCAAAGAAAGGAATTTATTTTCCTTGGGGTTTTAGGGACTTTACAGGGACTCAATTATAAAAAGACAGGAAGAATTTATTTCTAGTTTTAAAAATATCATATTTTTGTATGTGATATATGTAATGTCCATTAACATCCCAAAGTATGTCTTTACATTCCAAGTAAATTTAAATGCCACTCTGTTATCATAGTTGCAGTGTTTGAACCTGAAATATAAAACCATGTAATAAAATAGCCATCTTTCTATACACGTGCATTACTCAGATAGCTAACGGTACTTTTGATATTACCGAGATGTACCTTTTGAACAGGTTTGAATAGAAGTTGCTAAGATATGCCTCAGAAATTGGGTAAAGCAATCCGTTTAATATGAAACATAACTGAAAGTGATTGATTTTGAGATTAAATATACTTGAAACATACATTGGATCATTTAATAGTGTTATTTTCAGGAGATTCAGCTATCCTACACAGTGGTTTATTTGGCTTTAAAAGATAAAAACACTTCATTTCACAAAATAGTTTTATCATAAGTGGCAGAGGATATATTGAGATGGCTACCTTTCTTTTGTAATATTTATCAGAGTTTAGGAAATGAGCAATGATAGAAGAAAGTAATATACAGTATCTCATGGGCCTTACGATTAATGACATGTGCATAAGTGGAACTATAAAATAGAAACTGGCCTTATCGAAGTGTTGCCCTTTAAGAGTAATATAATTTGTCTTGTTAGTATTGCTAATGTTTTAAAGAAGCTATGAATATGGGTGTTTCACAGCGAGTAAGGTATGCTCCTCCACATTTGGGTAATTTTTAATGTTTGGAAAAAATATTAGGAGAAAGTAATGGCCCTAGTGTCTATTTAAATTATTTCATTACACTCTTTAGATAACAGTGACTGAGTGTAAAATCATCTACAGCTTGAGTCTATCATATGATCATTGCAGATGGATTAAAACACAGTATCCTGTTAATAGTGAATGTATAGCCCAAAAATATGGGGAAAGAGGAGAGGGAGGGGAGGAGATGGGGGAGGAGGGGTAGATTGGTGCGATCACACCTATGGTGCATCTTACAAGGGTACATGTGAATCTTTCTAAATGTAGAATATAAATGTCTTAACACAATAACTAAGAAAATGCCATGAAGGCTATGTTAACCAGTTTGATGACAATATTTCAAATTGTATATAAAAAACAACACACTATACCCCATGACTGTAATAATATACACAGCTGTGATTTAATAAAAAAATAAAAAAGAAAAAAAATAGTGAATGTAACTCCTGCAAGAAACACTCGTAATTTTCTTAAGCTATCAACATTCAAAATTAAGATAACTAATGTATTGGGATGACTTTCACATACCCCTTAATTTTGTGGTAAATTTAAAATAAAAATTAGTGTGGAGATAATATCTGTTGATTAAAGAAACTGTGAGTCATTTAATAAATAATATGCAAACTTTACAGCAATAAAATTAAATTATTTATGATTAAAAATGTATGCTTCTAAACTAAACATTTAGTTCTACAGAGCTTTTAGGATGCTGAAAAATGTGGAATTCATGCTGGAAGTGGAAATGAGTATTATTTCTGTTCCATGTGTAAGTGTATAATTCTGCCTAAGTTAGTAATAATCCATTCTTAATAAGGAAAGAAATTAAAAATCATAACCACATATGTATTAATTTAAAATCTGTATATTATATATTTGAAGAATGTTTACTGCATACCTGTAACTCAAGATCGAAAGAATTTATCAACACATTTAGTTATGCCTTACAGATTTTACTTAATCCAATTTCATGAGTCTGACACTCCATCTTTGAAAAGGATGTTCAGAGACTTCATGATTTATATATTCTCTCTGATGGCATTTTTCAAAAGCTTAAATGGCAGTGAAAAATGCCTTCCCAAATGCTTTGTGGTTCATGTTTCACAAGTTCTCTTGTTGGCTCAATTTTGAAATGTGCCACATCTGTTTGATAGTCTCCCTAATTCTACAAATAGAAATCTATAAATACTTTAGACTTCTAAATTTATGAATACAGTAACAAATTCCATATTTGCAATTCTCAATAGTCTTGGTGAGAGCTCTTTTTGGGATAGTAACTAATTTTACAGTAAGACAATACCCATAAAATAGCTGTGGAAACAGTTGGGCGAGTGCCCCTCAGTCTCTTCCAGCCTGTTATACACGGCCAATCTCCATTTTGAGCTTCTCCACCCCGCAGTGGCTGGACCCCCTCTCTGCCTTCCCAGCCCATCCGTAACACAGTACAGAGGAAGAATGCCTGGACTGGACTGCAGCTAACTATGATTCGAGAATAGAAGGGAGATGAAATGAACTTTCACTTTTATATGCAAATTTGGCTTTTCTCTGTGATAGAAGTCCATTTCTTCTCTCTCACCTTCCTCTGACAGAAAGAAGCCTGGTGTTAAGTCCAACATCTGTTGTTGCTTTCCTCCTTTTATTCACTACACAGGGACATTGGTTTGCAATCACAGCCGTATGATCAAAAAAAGGTTTCTAAAAAAATGGTTGATAATAGCAACCAAAAAAAGAAATTTAAAAACTAATTTAAAAATAGAACTACTAGTCAATATTATCAAATTTTACAAAAAGCTGTTTAAAGAACAAGGCGCGAGCACTAAGAGAAAGAATATTCGTGTGAGTATTAATTTTCAAGTTCACGCCTTTTTTAATAATCAGAAAAGTTTAATTTCTTTTATTGAAGAAGTTACTGTCTTAAATTGTAGCTCTTTCCACAGAATTTAAGCCAGAGATTTTCTTTTTATTTTAGTTTAGTTTTTTGAAACAGAATCTTACTTTGTCACCCTCGATGGAGTATTCTGGAGTCATAGTTCACAGCAACATCAAACTCTTGGGCTCAAGTGATCTTCTTGTCTCAGACTCCCAAGTTACTGGGACTACAGGCACCTGCCAAAATGCCCAGCATTTGTTTTTTTGTTTTTTTTTTTTTTTTGCAGTTTTTGGCTGGGGCCATGTTTGAACCTGCCATCTCCAGTATATGGGGCCAGCACCCTACTCCTTTGAGCCATAGGCACTGCCCATATCCAGCAATTTTTAAAGATGGGGATCTGGCTCTTGCTCAGGCTAGTATTGAACTCCTGAGCGCAAGCAAACCACTTTCCCCTCCTTGGCCTCCCAGAATGCTAGGATTATAGGCATGAGCCACCTGGCTGGCCTACGCCTGGAATTTTTAGATGTTATTGGTTGACATCTAGTAGTAAAAAGCTATGAATTCTCTGTTATCTATATTTTAGACTTTTAACATATTGTTTGTACATTTAGATAATTGTTTCCTATTTCTTGGAAACGACTCTGACAGGGATAAAGAAATTCTTTTAAATATCTTTGCTTGGATGCAGATGTATCTCTTCCTATAAGTTTCTAGAGTCTTTAAATATACATATTTTTGATTGATTGCTTTTCATTCTTATGACAAATTTCAAAGAGGGAAAATAAGAATACATTAATAGCTTCTAAATGTAACTTTTTTCAGACGCACAAGACGCCAAGATATAAGAAATGGAGACCCATTGACTCACTGTTCAGACTTACAACACCATGGTGAGTCACATTTTCATCTTTCCGACTGCTTAGAACAGGAAAACATCATAACTGATAAAGCATATCTACGAGGACATACGTGCATGCAGTCTGCACATCATTCCCGGAACATAAAGAAATTCAGCTAAAGAGAAGTAAAATCTTGTAAAAAAAAGTGTTAAAGAACCAAAATATCTGAATCATGTTTTAGTACATGATAAAAATTCAAGATATTAGACGCTTATTCGATTTAAAACTCACTGTTGTCATATTAGCAAAAAGAAGACAGATTTAAGTACATACTCTGGCATATATTAGCAGCCTATGAAAAGTAAGCAACAAACGTGTTCATTAAAATATGTTAAATAAAATATAGTCTTAAAATAATCCAGACAAATTACTCATTTACTTGTTGACATAAACCTAATAAATTATTTTTGTGTATCCTAATCAAGAGGAAGATAACACACATGTCTTTACACTTAGGATTATCCTTTGAACTGGGCATTTTAGACCAAATTCTATTTTATGCTTCCTAAGGGTGACAAGGCCTAGTCAATGTCAAAGTTGCTTATTGATGATGAAATACCAACCAAATATATTCAGTTAAGATTCGGTACAATTGTAGTGCTATCTCACGGTTTCCACATCAACCACTTACAGAAATAATAACGAGGTTCTGCTTCCCTCTGCTGGAGAAACTTGTCAATGACAACACTGCTAATGACAATTCATAGTAAAAACAATAACTCAGATGTACAAAGTGAACATTGCAACTGAATGTAATCATCCTATTGACTTTGTTCATGATTCTCACAATAATTCTAAAGGCAGTCTTATTTTTATCAATTAACTTTTTGATTTACAAATTCATTATGTACAATATTCACGTTTCATGAATGTTAAGAAAACGCTGCCACAAATAGCACCCCAGCATACATTCCAAATCCTAATTACTTTTCTGAAATTCAGATCTCCTTTAGCATAATTTGGTATTCGAGTCATGAGTATTCTCAAGGTTGACCAGGAATGCCAATAAAAGAGACACGTAACCATGATCAGAGCCAATGTTTTGGGCTCACTTTGCTTGCAGAATTTTCTCACCCAGGAGGTTCCTATGTATTAATATCCTCAGTATAAATAAGAAAGAGACCACTAAATTGGAGTAAACGTGTGACTGTCCCTTCACGGGCATTGTGCGTTTATTGATAGCCCTTCCTTACATTTTTCAAATGGCACACTTCAATTGGAAAATGAAATATAAGCCAGTCTTCCATTAATCTACTCCATGTAACAATGTTGAATTATGATCAACATCACTCCTGCAAGGAAATATTAAGAAGGAGAAACCCATTATATTAAAAAATCTATTTGCTTGTACATGGAGAGTAAATGTTAATTATTGGAAGTAAAAGAATCAAGAGAATATAACCAGAACTCTTTTCCAATTAGACTTTAGTCTTGATACCAAAATGAACCTTTTGTGTTGTTCGTTGTTATATCTCTAGATTTATAATAGGTACAATATTATGAATATTGTAGATATTCAATAAATATTTCTTGAACGAATGATCTAAAAATTTCAATTATAATGTTGGTACTTATTTTTCAATAGAGATTTTAACTAAATAGCATCTAGTAATTTTTTTTAAATTTTCTTTGTTACACATTGTTAACACTATCATATTAAAAAATAAAATCTCTCTTAAGAAACATAATTTTTAACCAATCAATTAACTAAGAAATATTTATTGTGTGCCAGCTTATGGCACTAAAATATATTTTGAAAATGGCTAGGGATAATATGTAATAAAAATAATCTTACTGATGCCCATTTGTTTGGCAAACTACTCCTTTTATTCATTCAGTTACTATAGTATTTCAAAATGATATTTTTGCTAGTTATGAGAGTACACACACAAACCGAAAAACTGAACAAAGGAATTTTTTTTCTAAACCATAAATGTAGATAAATAAATATCATTGGCCATTTTATGAATGGGCTTTGGAAAGTATTTCGAATTCTAAATTTTTTTTTGATGAAATTAAGATGGACAAACCCTATAAAAATGGAGCATATCAGGTGATAATAAATGACTTTTTTCTCCTGGTCTTCCAATCAGAATGCATTCTGTAGGAAGAAAAGGGAATGACTGTGGTTCAATGATACTGGTCTTTTTTGGGGGGAGGGAGGGTAAATGACTCTAAGCAGACATTTGTGATATACAGAAGGAAAGGATAAAATAGCCCAAGAGATTCTACAGCAGTAAAACATACCTTTTTTTTTTTTTTTGAAGGCTTCTTTATTCCTTATATGCTTGTGCTTCTAATTGACCAGACATAAAACATATACACCATGGATAATAGTGATTGTCAAATGTTTGGAAACTAAGTCAGGCATTCCCACGTGGTGAGGCTGAGTCTTACTATTAGGAATCAGTAATTATTTTGCAATAGTTGATGTAAGAATCTGAAAGTAAAATGGGCAAGAATCCAGAGCCCAGCCCTATGAAATCATGTATGTTGTCTTGCTAATATCGCTTCTCACAGTGGATAAAATAGACGTGCTCATGGAAACATAGAAAGATAGGAGATGTTTTCACAGAAAACTGCTGGGCCACATGAAGCCAAGTTCCACACTTTAGGATGATCAGTTCCAGCTGTAACGCTAAATATTCTGTAACACTCTGTATTTTACATATCTGGAGGTTTTAATAGACAAACTATATGTAAAATATTTCAGAATTAAGGTGAGAGAAATTTCGCTTGAGTTGAAACCTTTAACACTCACTCAGCACTCTGCTCCCTTTCATATAAAGCAGCCAAAGTGGTCCAGGGGAAACAGAAAAGCCCGTGTCCACATCCCCTTGATCTCAACACTCTCTCCGTTGTCACTGGTGGGTGTTGACCTAGACAGCTTTTAGGAACAAACCCTACATACATACGTACCGCCAGATCTTTTCTTCCCACTCACACCTCATACAGGATGCTGAAGAAAAATCTCAAGGTGTGTCCAATCTGTCCCCTTCACGAAAATCATTGCTGTGCACAAAACTGGATCTCGTCTGACTTTCCATTCCAGAAAATGGCCAAGTCAATTTACCCCTAAAGCATCTCCCATTTCCCCTCTTTTACTAAACAAGAACGAGCCGTAATATGATTTATGTGCCCAGAAAGGAAAAAGCTACACTGTAATACCAGTATTTTTAAAAGTATAATAACATCATCTTAAATTTCTGGGCCCTTGAAATGTTTTATGTCCTATCTTCCAGTTTAATGCACCTTGAATTTCACTTCCTGAAAGTATTTTTGGCTACTCTGTCTCCACACATTTCCTTTCTAGCGCCACACAGTAAAATGTCCATAGAATTAAATCTTCTTAATTATCTCCACAACTAGCCCATCTCAATTTATGTCTGGGCTGGCATCAAAATCATTCCAAAATTTTATAAAATATCTTTGGCAGTGCCATGCTTGTGGTCTCTAGAGCTATAAATTCAGTATTTTGTAGCCGTGCCATTATATCCTGTGCATCTGAGCATTCAGCTCCGTGATAGATGAGCATGACGTCAGCCTTAAAAAACCCTACGTTTAATAAATTACCAAATTTCATCAAGTCTAACGAGGCACCGAATATAAATGTACCACGGTTTCATGTACTGTGAAGAAAGATAAACTGCCCAAGATAGGCCACCTAAGAGCTGATCTCAGCATCAAACTGGGACACAAAATCACGCAGGAGTAGTTTAAAAGAAACTGTTTTCAGATGAAGCTAGCAAGGAACATTGCCTGTTTCAACCATAATCATGGGTGGTGGAAAAGCACTAAGAAAGAAAATGCTCTTTGAACATGAACTTCATAAGTACTACCCGTGGGGGGCACATAGGGAGGGTTACGTTCTAAGTTCACACAAAGAGGGTGGCCCCAAAACCACTTACAGAGACTTTAAAAGAGGTATCAGGTTAGACGAGAAGAAGAAAGAATTCTTTCTGAAAGAAAGGAACTTCGACTCCAATTTAGAGCAATTGTAAAACACACACTGATACCAGAGATATTAAAATGAAAAGACGCATGCATTCCAGAATCAAATCATGACAGAATCAAATCATCTATGATTTTTTATGCTTTTTTGAAACTACTGCCAGTGGACTACATTAGTCATTACAATATTTGCCTTTTGGTATTACCTTGGGCAAACAATTCCATTATTCATTATTTATAGGTCTGAAAATTAAGTTCCTGAACTCATCCTAGAAAAAGCTCCATACCTCACTGGTGAATATCACCATGGCCACCTTCTAAGTCCCCCTCTTGGGAAGCTGTGTTCCAATACCAGCATCTAGTCCACCCGTCAAAGTAATATTGGAACTTTTTCTGGAATGGTCACCAGAGCTCTCATTATATTACCCTTCACATTCTGTATGTCATCAAAATATCTTCCTTTCAATGTTTCCTTTATCTTAACGTAAAGAAAAAAGTCATTGGGGGGCCAGAGCAGGTGAGTGGGGAGGATTTTCCAGTACAGTTACATGTTTACTGGCAAAATCTCCCTCACAGCCAGTGCTGTGTGAGCTGGCTCATTGTCGTGATGCAAAATCCACTGAGGTGTTGGCCAAGATTTTCAGTAAGATGTTCCTTTCTTCTCTATCAATGTTTATTTGCTCTTCTATTTTTCTCCCAGTTAGCTGATGATTTTGAGCACAATTTGATTAATTTTTGCAATTTTTTTTTGTCAGTTCTGCTCATTACTGGCCGCCCTGACTTCTCATCAGTGGCGCTTTCTTTCCCCTTCGAGAAACATTCAAGCCATTTGTATGCTGCCATTTTCTTCACAGCATTATGCCCATAAACTTGGACTAACATGGCCCTAATTTCACTTTCAGTCTCACCAAGTTTAACAAGAAGTTTATGAATGTTTGTTTGTTCATTGCTCTAATTCAAGCTCTGACATTCTCTTAATGGCACACAAAAACGCGCAATAATGAGTACCACTCAGCAAGACACCGCCTCACGTCAACACA